CACTAGATTAATAAGAATCCTATATATTACATTCAAACTCAGTGAAAATGCACCAACCATCCATTGGCCTTGGGTGACAGGATTTGGTGTCTTTTAAGAAGGAAATGGACCAATATTGTACTGGAGTTACATTAGGGAACACAAATCATGAAGCTTGAAGCCAAAGCCAGGGACAAAGCCAAGATTTCACAAACACAATTAAAATTCCCAAATTGTTCTTACGGGGACATTTAAGATTCTTATTTGTTCCTCATGGAACTTGCTGTACATGGTGCTATCTTTCATAACAAAGATCTGAGAAACTTATAGAATCATTTCATTTTTTTGTTCTTGAACGTTCTTTAAATGATCTTTGATTAATTAAACCGAAATGCAATGTACTTTTGAATTTAGTTTTCAATTAGTGTTCAAGATAAGCCTTTATTGTATCCTAAAGATAAGTAACAAAGCTCGTTCTATTAATGTGGTTTCAGATCTTCATTCACAGAATAGAGAATTGTGTTGACAGTGTTCATGAGGTTTATATCTTGACCTCATCAGAGGCTTTTAATGGTAGAAGCCAAAGCTGGAGACAAAGCCAAGATTTTGTAAACTCCCTGAGATTCTGAAATTTGTTCCTAATGGAATCTACAGGTAATCCAGTATATATTGTACATGTACTTTTGTTCCATTAGGAACAAAATGTGCACTTTTGAGACAGTAAGTCCACTTCATCCTTGAGATGAAACCATACTACAAGTAGTTTGTGAAATAATATCGTTTAAATTCATTTTAAGCAAACGCATCACCACAATAGTTAGTACTCATATTACTGTTCAATGTAAGCATTTACAATGTACGTGTAGCTACTCAGTTGTTATATTACTGTTTGCAGTTTCTGTTTTAATACACATCTGAATTAACGATGCACTTACATATCTTGAAGATAATTTACTCATTGAAATGTTTGCTAAAGATGAAAGAAATTTAATTTGGTTTCCTGTCTTAATTTACAGAATGAAGACTAATGTTTATCACAATGTTTTTATCTTGTTTTGAAATTTTGTTTACATTTTTCTCAAACTGTTAGTTTGAATGATTAGAAATCAATTTGACTGAAGCTGAATTTCAGAAAACTATACAGCTTCAGTTGCCTTGATTTTGGCCTGACTGCCACCTTGAAAAGGTCCCACACAAATAGCACATTTCTAATCGAAGTTTTTTCCTTACAAACCAAATAGATTTCCTTGTCTTTTCAAGAAATTAATTGCACCTCTCTTTTTGTCATTGTTTTGCATTTTTGGTTTAAATTTCAGAAAACTTCAAAAATGAAAAAAAAACACCAATCATCGATCTTTTTGTAAAGATTCATGTTCAAGTAGACTTTTTGAGTGTTTAACAATTTACCAATGTATATATGTAGATCTTAGTAGTCACAAAAAGACGTTGTAAACTCCCTTGATGTATATTCTTAAATGTGTTCCTAATAGAACATACATCTACTCATTGTATACTGTGCTATCTCTACATTACATTTTCTGATAATAGAAATTACAGCCTGTACAATTTTAATTATTCTGTATTTCTGTTAACTTCACTTTTTAAAGCCACGTAGGATCATTTGCAATTACCCAGATAAGTACCTACCGATTTAATGACAGAAACCTCAAAGTGAAGAAAGGACTGGTAACAAATACCCTGTGAAATAATTCCACCTGAAATGGTATTGTCAGAAAACAAACATTGAAGGTGGTTTCAAAATGGGGTGCCTACAGAATCCAGTTACGAGAACCAAAGACTTGTGCATTATTTTTTCTCTGTTTTCTCCAAAACGCATAGTAGCCACTCAGCTAAGACTGGAACAGAATGCTTGTTATGCGCCATAGGCCTACTTAAAATATTGAGCAATTTTGTTGCTTCGGAAAAGAAAAAAAAACCTGCAAAAACAAATGATTCTACGCACAATGTACCTTTAAGCATACATGTACACTTCACTTTGAAAATTCATAAAGATTACTTTAAAAATTAGTCTATAAAAAGTCACTCCGTTTCTTTTTTAGAAAAAGCTTTCGTATTTGTTTTTTCATTTTTGTAGTTTTTCATAGAAATCATGTTTATTGTTATTATTTACAAGCTTTGTACATTTGCACTTGTATCAATGAAACACTAATGTGGATGATCATTTAATCATGAAAATGTCTGCTAAAGATGAGCAAAAATACTTATCCTATTAGTTGGTAATTCACAGAATAAAGACTTGTGTAAATTTTACTCCAAAGGGATTATCTTGAGGGAAATTTCAATTTTTCTTGATAGGTTAAACATTTGTCACGTGTGAAAGGTTGCCAATCATTTTAACAGATGTTCAAATATTGGTATTGAATTTCAGGAAGTTATGGCCTCTGTTGCCTTGATTTTGGCCTGACTGCATCCTTGAAATGTCCTTTCCTTTTCAAGAATTAAATTCCATACCTCTGTTTTCATTGTTTTACCTATTTCAGCAAACTTCATAACAATGAAAGAATTACCCCATCATGCAGTTAGAGTTTCGGCAAACAATTATTAAATTTTGATGACACTTTTCAAACTCTGTTGTTACAATTAAATATTCAAATTGACTTGTAAAATCAGATGTTTTGAAATGAAATGAACAGAAATAAATTCATTCATTTATTCAGAATAAGAATTCACTTACCACTCTGTAGTTCTTTGAAGTTCTTTGTATGTAGTAGCTCTTTTCTTCATCTAAAAATTAAAAAGAACAATCATGCCTTGAAATTGTTACATTGTTATTCCACATGGAAACCTCGACCTCCAAAGAAACCCACAAAGTGAAGTCTCCTGAATCCAACAGAATCCCACAACTCAGATGAACCATACAACAGAAACTGTGGAATTGGGTTCAAACTTTCACACGTGTTTAACTATTAATGACTGTGTGACGAACTTTTTTCTAGAAGTTTTGGCAATTACATATTCATCAACTTATTATTTTTGGATTACTTTGTTTGACACATAAAATAGGCAGACACTTTTATGTGTGGATTCCAGCTGGTCAAATAAATTTCAGATTTCTTGGACCAGTCTGCAAGTCTTCAGAGCCACTGACAATGTCAGTTGTTTCACCTTTTCATCAGATCCCCCAACAAATAAATATGCCACAGCGCCCTCTATTGGCGATGACTCTCCCTTCCTTCATTCCTGAGTGTAAACAGTTTTCAAGTCCTGATGAACGCATGCTGATTGAGTGTAGCGGGGGTGGTGGAGGGGTGAGATGCTTACTTGTTCATTTGAAAGCCATCCTCTCTTGACAGTGTCTTGATGGGGGAAGTTAGGCATCCTGTTAGCTGCAGCTGTGCCTGGTATGTCCTCTAAGTTGCTACTTGGGATCCAGTCACTGCTGCTCCCTGTGGAAAATATTTAGAAGAAAACCGAGACGATTTATTGAGGAAAATATTCTCTGGACTGGATGACAACAAAAATTTTACTAATCTGCATGTCATGGATGTCCATTGGGTTTAGAAATCACAGGAGTCTATTTTTACATTACTGTTTTTATTGATTGGAATTGACAGTTTTCATATCCTTCTGAGTTGGTTTATATAGCATTTTATAATCAACAATGGTCTTTATAGCTACATTCTTCAATTAGAATCTTTAAGTACAGAGCCAAGAAAATTCGAAACTTTTCACAGTCCTGTTATTTATTTTTTAAAAGCCACCCCTCCCCATTGGGTGTACCACTGTTTGTTTGGGTAACTTTTGGCAACTCCTCTCATTTGATTTGTTTTGGTTTCCAACTGATCAGGACATAGTCGCCCCTTATAAATTTATGTACAGTCAATTCTGTCGTACTCCATTACACTCAACTTCCCCCAGTAGCACGGATATGCATGGACCAATTTCAGATAGACTGAAAATTCTTGATCAGTATTTTTACAAGATTAAAGAAACTTTTGTGTGTGAGAAATACATGTATGAAGGACTTGATTAAAATATTTTGACAGCTTATTTTATTTGATGGTTGAAAAAAAAACTGAGTGGAATTAAATGTATGTGAGGTGTATGCGATTGAAATTTTACAAAGTGCAGCATGTACATATAAATAGAATGCATGAACCTATCTAAGGTCCAAAACTCAAGTGTCAAGTAAATATGTACACAGATAAACCGATATATACAGATTGTACATGTATACGTATGCAGCACAACAAAAATCCCAAGCTCTATATATATAAACCATGTCACACGACTTGATAACGATGCTGTGTTTGTCCAGCGCCATCTTTACCAGATCTGCCCCATCAAAAGCCTCAACTGTTTGTGCTCTTTACGTGATAAACATCATCTTTAATAGATTAGACTGGGGATTCAAAAAAGGTAAGAAAATATTTTGAATGAGATTAAATGCTAGCTTACTGATACAAGTTTAGGAAATCACAGTTTGCCTGAAACAACAAAATGCGAAGAGTACACACAGTAGTAATGTTCCAACAAAACCTACTAGTATTGAGTAATAACAAGAGTGGAAACAAACCATCAGAGCACTTCAAAATGTCAGAGCTCTTCAAAATTTGACAGGATTTATTTGATGTCCTGTTTCAAAAAGGATAACTTTTGTCTGACTGCTAAAAAGCAATTGAAAAGAAATACTGGTCTTTCTTGCCCAAACTCACACGGACAGTGCAGTATTGATGAATTAATTTTATCAACTGAACGATAAATTCTCTTACACTCTGCACAAACTGGTTTCCTGCCTAAGGAATGGGTTGGGGCTTATGAAAATGTATTAACAAGTTTGATTGGCTAGTCCAGGAGTAACGTGATTGGATAGAGGCAATGCTTGGGCTGTTGCCGTGTGGTGAGGCCTACTTCGTTGCAGCAAATGAATGTGGAAACATTATTCACGTTCTCAGCTTTCAATTTTGATTTTCTCATCTTTAGATTTTCTTTTGAAGTGTACGCCATCCATGTTTTCTCAGCTTTCATTTTCCCATTAAACGTGTTTTAGTTTCCTTGTCCTTTGAAGATGCCTAAAGCCAATCGGTCAGCCTCAGCTCAAGCATCCGGGAAAGGGAAGGATGCCAGGAAGCTGCGCCGGTCACCTCGTTTGTGTGCTATCCAGTCAGGAGTGCGTGGACGGCAGTCACAGCTGGAGGATGTAACGACTCCGGAAGTGGGATGCCAGCAGCAAGGTTGGGACCGAGCAGAGGAGCCGAAGCTTGACCAAGTTCCTGGACCGAGTAGGGGAAGTGGACCACGCCAACGACGAATCCAGGGTGAGTCTAAGGCTCTAGCATTGCCTACCATGAACACTGAACATTTCTAACTTACTGACTCAGACACGGCTGATCAGGTTAGTGTATTTGGTAGTAATACGAGGCATGACACTTCTGTCACTCACCTTCGCAATAGCCAGCCTGTACCGGCCTCGGCACTGAGTTCCCATTCTTTATACTTAGACCAGACCAGAACTTGTCGGGTCAGGGCAAAGCACCCTCATTTATCAAGTCCCGATTAATGTTTAGGAAACAAATATGAAGCGACAGGTACGTTGATCTGCTGCTTTTATTTAATGACACAGCCGCGACTTCTCTAGTCATCATCCATGAGAGAATCCCGAAGTTGGCACTTGAGAATGGCTCGATCGTCTGCAAACCAGATTTCCCCGTGAAAAACAAAATTGATATCGATAAATGGCTGACAGCATTCCACACTTTTATGGCCATTTATGTGGTGCGTTACCCTCTCCGCGTAGGTGAGCAGATCAAATATGTGGAGACAATGAGGATGGCTGCCTGCCTTTTTAGGGGCTTGGGATGGCACGTGGAGGAGGAACAGTTTTGTCTGCGCGAAGAGGCTAACCCGAGATGTTCCTGGGGGGCCACAGGACATGGAGTTGTGGGTCCCGGTGGCGGCCACTACTGTGTCTGCCAGTTCTGCTCAATTTGCACCAACTGACACCGTCAATATTGCGCATCACAACAGAAGTGCAGGCTTCTGCTTTGCTTTAAGCCAGGCCAAAAGTTGCCATTGGGCGATTTGTAAATCTGGTGTACACTGGATCCATCCCATCAAACACCTCAACTATTTGTGCTCTTTGCATCAAATTGGAAAAATTTGTTTTTAAGTGATTTGGTGGGAATGTAAAAGATGTAAGCAAATGTTGTCAGTTACATTCGTGTATTTTGAATGTGGTTAAATGCTAGCTTACCGATACAAGAGTAGGAAATCACAGTTTGCCTGAAACAACAAAATGTAGAGTATGTACAGTGGTAATGTTCCAACAAAACCTATTGAGTAATAACATGAGTGGCCACAAAACAACCACCATTTTTTTAATTCCATGTCTTGATTAACTTTTCTCTGGTTACAAAATAGCAATTGAAAACAAATACCGGTACTGGTCTGTTATGCCCGGTTGAAACTCACATAGACAGTGCATTATTAATTTATTATAAAATAAGTTATCGCTGTATTATAACCTTTCCAATTTCTTTTTAAATACCCTTTGGATACCCATAAAATGGCTACAGCTCTAAAGAACATCGAGTGTGACATCTGTCATGGCAGATATATAAACAGCATAAGAATTGCCAGCACAGCTGTTGTGCAGAATGTCTGAAGAAATACTACACCAGCCGGTATATGGAGGTCAACCAAAGATTTCTTGCCCTTTGTGTTGACTGGAGACAGTACTCTCATCAGAGACACGCATTCAAGGCCTCAAAACAAATTTCCATTTGATGGGGATATATTTGAGGAGGTCTCACACCAAGAAAAGGTGGTTAGTTCAGTGAAACAGACACCAGAAGAAGATGAGTCTAAATGCCAGAAACACAAGGGTGGCATGTGAGAGATACTCTGCTGAGCTTGTAACTGTAGTAAACCACTGTAAACCAAAACATCACTACACTGACTCTGGACAGGCTTCTGTCTCACCACAGACATCCAAGGTCGTCAATTGCTACTCAAAAGAGGGGGGTGGGGGACATACTTTGACCAGAACAAATGCGAGCGCAAAGAGCAAAACCTAATGGCGTGGGGGCCCCAAAAAAATGTATGGATTCTAGATGCTCTGTGGTCTGATCTGAGGCAAATGCTGAATACTTTAACCAATGTTTGAGCACAAGATCATCATTTTAACATAATTAATGGCGTGGCCCCCCCCCAAAAAAAATATTTATGCATTCTAGATGCTCTGTGATCTGATCTGAGGCATATGCTGAATACTTTAACCAATTTTTGAGCACAAGATCATCATTTTAACATAATTGTTGAGTTTGAAATCATTGACTCAGATATTCTGAGCTATACGTATTTTACAACATTTATTTGCAGACAGGAAAGGGGTGGTGGTGGGGGAGGGGAAAACGACATCCCCACCACTTTAAAAAGTGGGGACCCCCCACCAATTGATGCCCATGCAGACATCAAAAGATTTGAACACTCTTTGTCCACTCCACCACAAGCTTAATTAGCGGAGGTTTACACAGAACGTCACAAAGACTGTGAAAGCTGTAACAGACAAAGCGGATAAAATAAGAGCTTAGATAACAACTCAAGAAACAAAGATGATTGACAAAACAAACAACTCCAGCAGGATCGCAACAGAACATATGATAAGCATCAGTCAATACTGACATTGATGCTACAAAGTAAACAACATTCGCGAGGGACATCCCAGGATATCATTATAACTGCATCTGACACTGATTTGCTTTCCCTCTTTCCTATCATCAGCAAAGAGCCAAACTCCTCCCCAGATTGATCCCAAGCTTTCATATCTGAGCTTCACCCCGGGTCAGAGGATTGGTGACATCAATCTGGGCAAGCTGGCCGTCAAAGGCAAGTGGGAGATGCTACGTGAGTTTGGTAAAAGAGGAAGTGGTCCAGGAAAGTTTGATGGGGTTGTAGATATTACTGCTACTCAACCTGGTGAGATTGCTGTGGCAGACTATAGGAACAAACGAGTGGTCATCTGCAGCAATGAGGGACAACACAAGGGAACCATTCCCCTACAACGTAAGTTTCTTTCATGCACATGTCCATCAACACAAACTTTCATAATTGTGTGGAAATTAAGTCTTCCATGTGCACATGCAGATCTGACAACTGAGAATGAAAACCAATAAAAAAACTGGCAAGGAATTGATGCGCTGGCAGTGCAAATTTGATTTTGTTCTCCCAGCAACTTAACTCTTCATGTCACCAAAAACATTCTTATTTAGGGGGTCTGTAACCTTTAGAAAAGAGCGAAGTTACCTTTAGGTTGTTTCACAAAGAAACCAATCTGCCCTGTGAGTAGAGTGTTCTAGGCCTGATCCCTTTATTAAGCCCCCATCAAGATCAGCCTTCGGTTTTCTCTTTGTTCTTCTGTAGTGTTCGTGTTGGTGCTTTGCTTTTTTATGGACAATAATGCAGGCCCAGATAACCCAATAGGCACAGTAAGCACTGTGCCTACATGTACAAGTAGGTCCTACGAAAAATTTGGGGGCCTACATTGTTTTTTTTGTACACAAAATTTTGGGGCCTACGAAAATACCGCAGTGTGCCATTAAACACAAAAATAGGCCTACCCACACACACCCAAGTGTGTATTTGCTTACAATTGGGGACCCTTTATTGTCCCTATTTTGCTTGGTCTTTTTAAGACCAAGCAAAATAGGGGTTAACCTTCTGGGGTTAACTGTCAAAGTTTTTGGTGAATTCAAAATACTGCGAAAGCAGCATGAGTTTTAAAACCAATGGAATTTCTCCCTTACGGTTCAAAGTACATTGTATGAAGACAAAACATTGTAAAACATGCACTGTTGTACAAAGATGTGACAAAAATGGTGATATACATGTACAATGACGTCACAGATTATCAAATAAAGAGTGATTTAAAGAGATACTGCATCCTGGAAAGCACCCCATTGGGCTACAAAGAGCATATTAACGTCCACACAAACATCCTTCCTAAACCCTCCTGGATGATTGAGGATGACTGGTGTTTGAAGAAGAAGAGGATTTTGGAGGATTGAGGATGGATGTATTTTTGAGGCAGGACTGTCTGACAATTTTGAAGGATTCAGGTGCTGGGTATCCTTCATTTGAACATGAAGTGCAATTTTTTTGAGGATTTTGAAAGAGGATGCATGCTTCCTGAGGGTTAGGGTTAAAAGTTGGCAGTGTGTGTGTTATTCTTGCAAGAATGAATTTCGGGGGTCATAAATTTTGACTCTCAAAATTGAGCTGTTTAGGTGCAGCGTGAATCCTGTCGCACACGTACACATAGTCTCACACACAGGATACCATATATTTGTGTACATTGAAATCGTCTGACATCATGGACACATATACAGTATAAAGCTTGTTTAAACTTGTTTGAACAGTTTTAAAACAAACATTTTGTTATTTCAGGACAATGTGCCCCTTCAATGTCAAATCTTGACAACATTAACGTTCAGATTTATAAGGTTCTTTTGATGTGAGGTGGTAGACATTGAAATTGCCTTGAGCATCGTATTTGACTCCCAGGCACAAATCTGTTTGACCTTTGCTTCCAGGGTTACCGGATATGCAATGATCGGGGAGTCAGGTTGGCGTAGCGGTACTTTCCTCGCCTTCCACCGCTGTGACCTGGGTTCGAATCCCGCCTAGGACAATATGTGGATTGGGTTTTCAGTCCCTACCTGATTCCGTGGGTTTTCCCCAGAATATTCTTCTGGGCTTTTCCTCCCACCTCTAAAACTGTAACTTCTTCTCATTGTCTTCTCTCCATTTATCCATCCTGTTATTGGCGCTTGCGCTGTTGGATGTGGCTAAAATAAAATTTAAAACAATTTTAAAAATATAATGAATGTAACTTGAAAACACAAGCAGTTTACAATAAAACTTATTCAGGAAATGTTCAATGACAAATAACACTAGACTTATGTTTGTGGGCAAACACAGGGCTGTTTCGGTAACTTTTGTTCGACATATGTGACATATTTTCAAGACCATCCAGGAAGGATGTAGGTATACTAAATTGTGGCATATAAATATGTGATGACAGTCTCATAGGGCTTTAAATTATTACATCCCATGTTACGTAATGACATCCTGATGACGTCACATTAATTTTCATCTGAAATTAACTATAACAACCTGCTGCTAGAGGGCGCTCTAACATTTCATGACGTCACCGTTAATTTAGAATAAACAAGCCACAACATACATCATTGAAAGCAATTCCACATCTTTAACCAATTTCAAATTACAAGTCACTTCCAGTTTCAACAAGAAGGAAGGGTCATGTGATTTTGCGCATAATATCAAAATTGAAGACCCTGGATTATTCTATCAATTCCCGCAAAACTCAAGTTTAGGTTTCTCACGGTTGATTTTATATTGATTTTCATAGATTAGATCTACATACATTAATCTATAACGTAACGTCACATTTATATCATCGTGACGTCACTTAAATTTCATCTATAACACATCCCTTTCTAAAAATGTACATGCCAGGTTTCAACCAAATCGGACCTGCAGTTTTGGAGATATAGGCTTTCAAAATATGAACCCATATTGTGAAGTCACGTGACTGGTGATGTCATGATGACACAGCAGCAGGTGCTGGTCTAAGCGTGTGCCAAAGGCAATCGGGTTGATTTTAGTGCCCAAAGTGCTGGGCACAATGAAAACGTGTACAAATGCTATGGACAAAAGTCTGAAAAAGAAAAAAACAAGAACAAAAAAATAACTTTAAAGAAACCTAGACTGATGTTTGTGGACAAAAACAGGGCTGTTTTGGATTTTTTTTGTGGCAAGTGACCATGGAAAGTTTCATGTATAAGTTACATCCAGGAACTAGTGAATATAATATGTGATTACATTCCCATAGGGCTTTGATTTTTGACATCACATGTGACGTCATAATGTCATGATGACGTCACATCAATTTTCATCTATAACTATATTTTGTTTGTAAATAACAACTAAGCCATAGCATACATCGTTGAAAGCAAGTTCACATCTTTCACCAATTTTAAATTTCAAGGCACTTCCGGTTCAACCGGAAGGAAGGGTCACGTGATTTTGCACATAATATAAAAAAAATGAAGACCCTGGATTATTCTATCCATTCCTGTAAACGTCAAGTTCAGGTCTCTTACGGTTGATTGTATATAGATTTTCAAAGATCTATTAATCTTTAACGTGATGTCACGTGACCCATGATGACGTCATCGTGACGTCACTTCAATTTTCATCTATAACACATCCCGGTTTAGGTACATACCAACTTTCAACCCCATAGGACCTGTACGGTAGTTCAGGAGATATAGGCCTTCAAAATATATTTATTTTATATGACGTCATATGTCACATGATGACGTTGTCATGACGTCGAGTATTCATCTATAAGACATCCTGGTCTAGGTAAATACCAACTTTCAACCCAATCGGACCTGCAGTTGTGGAGATAGAGCCCATCTGTCAGATCTAGCCGAATTCTGCTAGAAAATGGTCACAACAGAAAAATTGCATATAATGTGACGTCACGTGACACATGATGCTGGTCTAAGTGTGTGCCGAGTATAAAGGCAATCCGGTTGATTTTAGAGGCCAAAGTGCCAGTAACAAAAAAACTTGTACAAATGCTATGGGCAAAAATGACTGGAAAAAAAGAAGAAAAAAAAATCTTAACGAAAACAAGGCTGTTTTGGCCAGTTGCCAAAACAGCCAATAAAAACCATGAGGGCACCAGTGTAGCTTAAGTAAGCTCTAGCGGCATGTTTGAATAAGTTATATTTTTTTTCTTGGTATTTAAAGACCATTTGTCAACAATTTTTCAAATTGCTCATAAATATTCTTTGGACAATAAAAATACTTTCTCAAATTTCATAATGCTGACCTCATCAGACTAGAAGTCAATGTCGGGAAACTTTGGAAAAGATGCATTTAAGCCAGAAGTTACTTGACAAGTAAATAATAGTTTTTGAACGCTTGGACTAAAAATGCTTAAGTTCATTTCTTCCTTTTTTCTCTCTAAAACATACAACTGACGAATGTACTGTACCATAGTTTCACGCCCAACCACCCATTTTTTATAGACAAATGCAAACCTCAAGTAAATTCTGACATACAGCAGGCATTAGTGTACTTTGCAAGAACTGAGTTATTAATTCAAAGTTTTAAACTTTTGATAACTAAAAATTGCTCTATATTTTGTTCAATGCTTCATTTGAAAATCTAATAACTTTTTTTAGCTAAAAAATAAACAGTTAAATACAAGACTAAATATATTTGTAAGGTTTGAACCATGAGAATAGCACAGAGAGTACATGTACATCGAGGTACAGGTACAGGCACATGTTCATGTATTTGCAAACAGAGTCTCCAAGACGTGCCAGTTATTCACAACATGTATGGTGGTTGGAGACAACACAATGTTGATGTACTACTTGTACATGACCGGGCTTTGAGGCAGGCCATGTATTCATTAGGTATGTTGTATTTCATGGGGACTGAGAATAGTGACAGTGCATTTACATACTGTGCATATGTTACATTTGAGTTCTTCTTTACCCACAGGTCCACTGGCAGTTGCAGCCATCCACAATCCTGAGCAACGCTTGCTTGTGTTGGAAGATGGAAGCAAGTATGTCAAGGTGTTCAACATGAAGGACAACACTCTTGACTTCAAATTCCCAACGGTAGCACCGAGTGAGTTTGAGGAGACACAAGTGAACCTAAAGAGCACAACAGTCAGGACAAACGGTATTATTTTAGTAGGAGACATAGAAAGAATGGTGTGGACTGAACACAGACCCACTGATGGTGAGATCCTACACACCATACCAGTGCAGACTCCACCTCAATTCCTGGCTGTTGATGACGACACTGATAGAGTTGTGGTCAGTGGATTCCACACAAAGAAAGTGGATATTACCGACTGTAAAGGTTCTATACACACCACCATCAAACCAACTATCAATGGTGGGCCAGTGTGGTGTGATGGTGTATGCTGTGACAGCTCAGGCATCTACCTTGCAGTGGACCAAGGTGCAGCTGGCACTGGTCATATTCACCACTATGACCAAGATGGCAGGTTTCTTGATTGCGTGGATCAGGGTCTGTGTTTCCCACTTGGAATCACATTCACATCCAATGGCCAGCTGGCAGTGGCTGAACACTACTTCATCAAGATGTATCACAAGGTGTGATGTCATCCAACATGACATTGGCTAGCAATCATCATCATCCCAACAGCAAATGTTGAGGATGAAATTGTCCAGTTATTACAGCACCAATCAACATTCATGTCCCAGTCATATCACATCTCTCCTCAAAAATCCAAACTGCCAGATCCCTCTGATGTGAACCATTTTACCATACAAATTCTTAAATAAACAGTGCATCAATTACATTTTGTTACTATACAAAGTCTTATATAAACAGTGATTTGACTACAGCTACATTAGATTTGATTGGGGGACAATTTGTTTTAATCTTACATGCATGATGACTTGAATCTATTGTTTGTCTAAATTAAAAGGTAAATTTGAAAGGAGAGGGGAGTTTAGTGGGTGTTGAGGTGTTTGAATGTAATGACCCCCGCCTCCTCAACCCAACACCCCTCCCTCACCCAGTACATGGATTGCCATCAATCTATCCAATACTTACCAACTTTCTGTGGTGTTTATAAAACCCCGGCTTCGTTGTGGCTTCCGCTTCATCTCTGGCTCTAGATTCCTAAGAATCCTACCACATTCAAACTCAGTGAAAATGCACCAACCATCCATTGGCCTTGTGTGACAGGATTTGGTGTCTGTAATGAAGAAAATGGACCAATATAAAGTTTACATCAGCGTACAAAAATCATGAATCCCAAAGTCAAAGCCAGGGACAAAGCCAAGATTTCATAAACACAATTAAGATTCTTAAATTGTTCCTGATGGAAGTTGCTGTATATATTCTGCTATCTTTTATAACAAAGACTAGAGAAATGTTTAGGATCATTTCATTCTTGAGATTTAACATTCTTAACATTTATTTTGAATAATTATAACTTTACAAATGCTTTACTCAGTTCAATTTTGTGTTAGGATTAGTGTTCAAGATAATGCATTACTCAGTTCAAATACGTGCATATTAGTGTTCAAGATGATAAGCCTTTATTCACTCAGTTGATTTTGGTTACTTTTTTGCAGTTTCATGTACAGATTTAATTAATAAAACGCTGCTTTACAAGTCAATTGACTTGTCCAAATGTATCCTAAAGATGAGTGACAAAGCTCATTCTATTAATGTGGTTTCAGATCTTCATTCACAGAATGGAGAATTGTGTTGACATTGTTCATGAAGTTTATATCTTGACCTCATCAGAGGCTCTGCAATCTGCATAGTAGAAGCCAAAGCTGGAGACAAAGCCAAGATTTTGTAAACTCCCTGAGATTCTGAAATGTGTTCCTAATGAAATCTACATGTACATGTAGTCCATTATATATTGTACTTTTGATAATAGAAATTTTGAGACAGTTTTACAACCACTTCATCCTTGAGATGTAACCATACTACAAGTATTTTGTGAAATAGTATTGTTTGAATTCATTTTAAGCATACGCATCACCATGATAGTTAGTACTCATATTACTGTTCAATATATGTAAGCCTTTATTTACTCAGCTTTGACATTACTTTTTGCAGTTTCTGTTTATGCATTTGAATTTACGATGCATTTACATGTATATTGAAGGTAATTTACTAATTGAAATGTTTGCTAAAAACGAGTGAAAATTAATTTAGTTTCCTGTCTTAATTTACAGAATTAAGACTCATGTTTACAAGAATGTTTTTATCTTGATTTGAAATTTTGTTGACATTTTTTTTTGACTGTTAAATATCCCTTCAGTTTGAATGATTAGAAATCAATTTGACTGAAGCTGAATTTCAGAAAGCTAAACGGCGTAAGTTGCCTTGATTTTGGCCGGATAGCCACCTTGAAAAGGTCCCACACAAATAGCAAATTTCTAATCTAAGGTTTTTTCCTTACAAACCAAATAGATTTCCTCGTCTTTTCAAGAATTTAATTGCACATCTCTGTTTTCATTGTTTTGCAGTTTTTGTTCCAATTTCAGAAAACTTGGAAATCATAAAAAAAAATCAACTTCAGTTTGGGTTTCAGCAAAAAATTATGAATTTGTTTGCAAAGTATCAATCTTATTGTAATAATTAAATGTTCAAGTAGACTTTTAAGTGTTTAACAATTCACCACTTTATGTAGATCTTAGTAGTCACAACAAGACTTTGTAAACTCCCTTTATGTATATTCTTCAATTTGTTCGTAATAGAACATACATCTACTCATTGTAAACTGTGCTATCTCTATATTACATTTTATGATTATAGAAATTACAGCCTGTACAATTTTAATTATTCTGTTTTCCTGTTAACTTCACTTTTTAAAGCCATGTAAGATCATTTGCAATTACCCAGATAAGTACCTACCGATTAAATGACAGAAACCTCAAAGTGAAGATAGGACTGGTAACAAATACCCTGTGAAATAATTCCATCTGAAATGATATTGTCAGAAAACAAACATTGAAGGTGGTTTCAAAATGGAATGCCTACAGAATCCAGTTACGAGATCCAAAGACTTGTGCATTATGTTTTCTCTGTTTTCTCCAAAATGTATAGTAGCCACTCAGCTAAGACTTGAACAGAATGCGTGTTATGCATCCTACATGAAATATTGAGCACTTTTGTTGCTTCGGAGATAAAAACCCTGTAAAAGGCAAATGATTCAATGCACAATGTACCTTTAAGCATACACAAACTATAAAAGTTAATCAAGATTACTTTAAAAATTAGTCTTTTAATATTCACTCAGTTTCTTAAAAAAAAAGAGTTTAGTATTTTTTTTGTAGTTTTTATAGAAATTATGTTTACTGTTATTATCTACAAGCTTTGTACATTTACATTTATATCAATGAAACACTAATGTGGATGATCATTTAATCATCAAAATGTCTGCTAAAGATGAGCACAAATACTTATCCTATTAATTTGGTTTCCTGTCTGAATTCACAGAATAAAGACTTGTGTAAACTTTACTCCCAAGGGATAATCTTGATGGGAATTTTTATTATTTTTCTTTGAAGGTTTAAATTCTTCAAGTGGGTCATTCTATAAATTTGGGGTCCACTTTTTTTCCCGTCCCTGTTACATCTGACATCTATGATTGTATCATTCTGATGCACTCCTTAAAGCAGTCATCCTCCAAGAGTGATTATGAATAGCAAACTACCTACCCAACAAATAAAACATCATTTGAAGTCATTCTTAATGATGCTTGAATGGCAAATTACAAAGTACCAAGGTAACAGGGACGGGAAAAATGTCACACTTTGGACCCCAAATTTATAGAATGACCCAAGTGTGAAAGGTTGCCACTCATTGTAACAAATGTTCAAATCAATGGTATTGAATTTCAGGAAGCTATGGCCTCCGTTGCCTTGATTTTGGCCTGACTACCTCCTTGAAATGTCCTTGCCTTTTCAAGAATTAAATTCCAGACCTCTGTTTTCATTGTTTTACCTATTTGGTTGCAATTTCAGCAAACTTCAAAACAAAGGAAAGAATTACCCCCTCATACAGTTTGAGTTTCAGCAAAGAATTATTACATTTTGATGACACTTTTCAAAGTCTGTTGTAACAATTAAATATTCAAATTGACTTGTAAAATCAAATGTTTGAAATGAAATGAACAGAAATAAATTCATTCATTTATTCAGAATAAGAATTCACTCACCACTCCTTGTATTCTTTGAAGTCGCTCAAGCCTTGAAATATCTATTGTTATTCCACTTGGAACCCTCAACCCCAAAGAAACCCACAAAGTGAAGTCTCCTGAATCCAACAGAATCCCACAACTCAGATGAACCATACAACAGAAATGGACCACTGTGGAATTTGCTTGAAACTATCACACGTGGTTGAATGTGTTAATAACTTTAATTTTTCCCACGTTTCGGCAATAACAACATTCATCAATTATTTTTGGATTACCTTTGCTTGATACATAAATATGCAGTCAATTTTATGAGTAGATTCCAGCTGGCCATAAAAAATTCAGAATTCTTGGACCAGTCTGCAAGTCTTCATAGCCGCACGACAAGGTCAATGGTTTCACCTTTTCAACAGATCCCCCAACAATTAAAAATGTCACAGTGCCCTCTATTGGCGATGGCTCTCCCTCCCTTAATTATTGAGCATCTGTCATTTTACCCACCACTTATTATGATTTAATAGACACCAGGGACAGGAGTAACTTAGCCCAATATGCACGTCTAGATGAATGGGATTCAATTTGGTTTTTTGATTTTCAGTTTTACCATCCCCTGGGGCAGCAGGGGGAGACAACTCCTTCCCAAACATTTTGCTTTTTTTATTTTGAAAGGAAACGAAGATGCCACCTCCTCACAGCTCTAATATGAGCAGCGTTACTCGGTTTTGATAACGTAATTATTGTCTAGCAGGGCCCAATTTCTTGGCTCTGCTTGCAGTTAGCCCTGCTTACAATAGCAGAAAATTCTGTGCTTTTGGTAAGCGTATTTCACACGTTATCCTGGAATTTTGGCTTCTGCGTATGCGTACATCCCGTATATAAGGATTATGTGCTTACATGATTAGCACAACATTTTTTCTGCTGGCGCTGTTAGCACAAAATGGTGATCGTAAGCACGGAATTCTGTGGTGAGCAGAGCAACGAAATTGGGCCCTAGTCAAATCCAGCATTGACTCCATGGGTGCATTTCCTTCACTAACCCTTGGCCGTGATGAACATAATGACGCTGACCGGCAATTCAGAGCATACTGCGTGCCTATTTCGAAAACTGCACGCCCTATATGCGCTTGCATGCTAGGCACATCACGTCAAGTACGATGAGCCTTTCT